GGGGGGGGGAGGGTGGTGGTGTGGGAACAGCAGTATGAGACAAACGTCGGTGTTGTTACAAATAAAAGTGTGTGTTTGAAAACATGTACGATGTACGATGGGCAACAACAGCAACGTCACCCACAACCACAAACAGAACTGTATGCGTAGTGCACATTCGTACATGAACCACATCATCAGAGTACTATGTCAGTTGATGCCAAGTACCACTCTTTTTCTCAGAGCACGCCCTGCGGCTCGCACAGTGTCCGTGATTTGCAGGCCTGCTGCCAGGTGCCCGCAACCCTCGCCGCAGCCCCTTAGTTTGCGGTCCTTTGGTCCATTTGGACCACCGCCGCCGTCGACCTGGTGACCTCATGGCCGACCTCGCTGCGGAGTCCGTCAGTCTCGTGTGGCTGCCAGCAGTCCGACGCAGGGACGGCGCGCGGCCCCTGCCCCGCCCCTCCTGCGGCCCAACACCCCCCGCCGCGCTCCCGGCCCGCCCGGCCCGCCCCGCTCAGTTGTCTGGCAGCAGCGGCCAGGCGAGCGTCGCTCCGTTCCGACCGCTCCAGCCGACTGTACTGCGCTCCCCCCGCGCCCAGGCTTGTCGAGCCCAGCCGAGCCGGAGCGTGCGCTGCGGGCCGAGCCGAGCCGAGCCGGGGCTCGCGCGCTGCGGTACGCGACACAACACAAATTACGTGACGCCATGGCCGTCGGCGCCGCCCTCGTCGCCGTCCTGGCCGTCATCGCCGCCGTCGAGTCTCGAGCGGTAAGTAGTGGCCGTTTGTTGACGCTGTTGTCATTCTTGCGCTGCTGCTGCGGCGGTGGTCGTCACGTTGTTTGTTTATGTTGTCGCATTTCGCTCTCACTTGCCATGGCTGTGTCGGCACACACACACACCTCAGCGGCAGACCGGCCCCTCACAACTAGTTCGACAGTTCTTTGTTGTTTCCTCACAATGTGATGTGTGTGAGCGATATATTTTCCTATACGTTTGTGTTTGTTGTCGCGTCGCGGCTGGCAGCATTGTGTTGTCGTCCTGCCTGGTGCTGGTGTGTGGCGTGACGGCGTCGTCGCCGCCTCGTCGAGTTGGCCGCGTGCGCGCTGGGACTTCCCTGGCGGCCTCCCGGTCAGCCAATCGGTCATATCACCCGCGCTGGACTCATTGTCCACGTTCGCGCCCCGCCCCGCTCCGCCCGCCTGCCTTCCGCCACGCTACGCCTCGCCCTTTTCCCGCCGTATTTTTGTCCAACTTTTATTTTTCCCCTCCACCGCTGCCACCGCCGCATAGGTCCGCGACGACGCTGGCGGCGTCCTGTTCCTTCTCCTCCCTCCTCCCTCCACCATAAAGCGTGTTGTTTGCGGGGTCGCCCCCGCCCCTCCCCGCCCCGCCCCGCCACACCACGCAGGGGTGGGTCCGGCCAGGCGGGGGCGCGCGCGCCGGAGGCATGACTTGGTAATGCGCGGTCCTGCCCGGGGGGCGGCCGCGCCGGGCTGCCTGCACGCGACGGCGACGCGCGCGAGTTACAAGGCGGCCCGCCTAACCAGCGCCCCCATACCCCGGCCACAACTACCAACCCCAACCACCACCAACCCCCTCAACCCCGGATTCTTAACCCCGCATGGCACCCACGGCCAACTCATTCATTGTATTTGAACCGCAGTGGGGTTAGTGCCCTGCCCCGCACGCCCGGCTCAACTCGAGGGCCGCGCCTTTGCTGCTCCTTCCACACCTGCAGCAAGCAGCCGGTCGAGGCGCCCCCTGCCACCTCCCGGTCTTCTTGTTGTTGCATGTAGCAGCAGCAGCAGCAGCGGCAGCAGCAGCAGCAGCA